TTTTGTCAACCTAAATATACCAGTCTTATTGATGGTCGTAAAATTTTCGATGGTGTCTGTTAAATTCTTTGGCATAACTTTTTTGCTGACCACATCTTCAAAAATAGTATTAAATAAATCTCTTAACGCTTCATTGCTTTTGCTGTTATGACTGGTTTATTCCCTAAAAAAGTTAAATCTAAGGCTTTAAAATCCTCTACTGTTAATTTTGATGGTTGTGACTATTGAATACCATTATGTGTATCATTTTGCCTTGTCAAATAATTTCTTTTAAGTGTAAGACCAACTTCATACTCAAAATAAATATCACCTTGGTCATTTCTTCCAAATCTAGTATGATTATCTATATCACTATAATTTGATCTAAATCTAGTTATGCTTAACTTTAAATTGTAAATTAATGTTGTTAAACCATTGTCAAACGTTATGAGTAACTTCAACAGAATCTCCTCTATTTACAATTACAGGGTATATTTTTCATTTCTGGAATAATATTTTTTTAAACATTGATTGTTGTGTCTAGACACTCTTTTAATGAATTTCCAATTTGCAATCGGTGCTTTCTTTCAGCTTTATCAAAAATATCTACATTATCAATAGACCCTGATAGGTCTATAGTTAGTATATCCCAATCACTCTATTCAGCCCAATGACCATTTTCACCCCAATCTACATCACTCTTTCAACTAATGGAATATATTTAGCCATCTTACAAAGAACTATTTATTAGATAGTAGCTCCTCCTCTAAATACTTAATAAAATGGCTTCAAATTTAAATAGTAGCTATAGAGCCTTATTAAATTTTAAACGAGATTTAATAACCAGGCATGGTCCTAAAGGAGATAGGCAAATTATAACAATTAATTTTAACCCATCAGCTATTGCTTTTCCTTCAAGTACCACATTACTTGTCCGTTTTCCTACTTTACCACTTAACATGGTTAAGTAAACATGGGAAAACTAATTTTGTTATTGAACATGGGGAAACTAATTTCGGATAACTTTTAAATTTCAAACATTTTTAACTTATATTTCACCAACGTTGCATCGTCTCCTATAAATAGTGAGATGAGTTATTGTCATTCTCCTTGCAATGTACATGTGTCTGTTGAATCTGCTATTATAAGATGTGCAAACCATCCCAGTATTATAAACATTAAAAACAAATCCAAATTATATCCTCAAAATTTTAAATTTCATCAAATTACTCCTGATGATATAACAAAAACTATTTGTTCTTTAAACAGTAAAAAGAAGACTGTGGAGATATTTCAACGTTTATGTTAAAAACTTATGTCATGGATTTGAGAGAAAGCCTCACTTCTTGTATAAATAAATGCATATCCCAAGGCAAATTCCCGTCCTTCTTTTCTTCTTGTTCTGAGACAAAAACCTAGAGAGTGTTATTCCTCGTCTTCAAATAGAAACATCAAACGCGATTTCATGGTTTACTTTGAATAAAATAATGGGAAATCCGGACAAATTTCAATTTTTTATGGCTGGCTTAAAAAATTGTAAAGATCAATTTTTAATGGTTGGAAATGTAAAAATCATGGTTTCCTCTAAGGTTAAACTTTTCGGGGTTACAATTGGTAAGGATTTGAAATTTGATGATCATATTAAAAGTCTGTATGGAAAAGTGAATAGTAAATGCTTCGCTCTTTCACAAATAAGGAGCTCCTTATCAGTAAAACAAACTACTGTTTTATTCAATGCTTTTATACTGTCAAATTTTTCCTATTGTCTTTTGATTTGCATGTTTTGTTTGAAGTATAATAATAACCTAATTAATAAAATTCATCAAAAAGGATTTTGCATTGTCAATAAAAGATTTGATCTCCCATTAGAAGAAATTCAAAAAATAAAAAATATCGCAAGTATTCACCATAAAAAAATTAAGGTTTTTGTTAACTAAAGTTTTTAAATTTATAAATGGTTTAAATCCAGATTTTATGTTGATCTTTTTATCAAAAAATCCCTGCCGTTAAGTCTTCGATGTTGTAAAAAATTACTACTCCCACCCATAGTCTCTAAACATAAGTTCATAAAAAGTAACTTATATAGAACAACCTCGCTATGGAACTCCCTAGACAATGAAACTATGTCAATAAATTGTCTTAAGATGTTCAAAAAAATTATTTTCAAATGGAACGGAAAATCTTGTTTTTGTAAAATCTGTCAAAAAATAACTTTTTTTATTTTTTATTTTTTATGTCGAAAATAACCAACTTGTTGTATTTATTGACATTTATTTTATTTACTATTTAAGCTATTTTTATTTTATTTTATTTTATTTATTTTTTATTCACGATATGTATGTTTGTTTGTATTGTCTTATACAGTCTAGTGTGTTGATTTTAATTAGTTTTTGTTGATTATAAAACTATTGTAAACATTCAATTGAAAATAAAGTTTTAAATAAATAAATAAATGGTTGTCGTGCCTAGAACTGTCTGTTTACTATGCACGTTATTTTAACCCGAGGTACTAACTTAACTTGTAGCAAACTTAGGGGGTGCTATAGTTTAAAAATTAAAAATAAGAATGTAAGGTCAGGAAATTCAATAATTAATTGACTAAGGAGATTAATGGAGCGTTTAAGATCTGTTCCTCCCATCAATTCAGCGACCTTTAACTGACAGTTAATGCGAAGCATTGATAATCACGCTGATCCTTGTAATTTAACATTCCTAATATCAGGATCTTCGTATACTATTGGAGCTAACGCTGCAATTTTGTTTGCTTTTGGGCGAAGGCCAGTTCTTAATGGGTCTTAAAACTGCACTCCTCTTGACTTTAAACTTTTTAATGCAAAAGGACCATTCTATGAGACGATTCATGAGACAAACATGTTAAATATTGAAGATGGTTTTCAAGTGGTAACACCCAACGGTCTAGTTAGTAACCACCTATGCAGGTACCCAACAATTTTTACTATTGATTTCAGATCTGCAAGCAATCAGCATCTATCAGAAAACGGTCAAAAATTAGAAAACAAGGGGATGATTTAAATAAATATTTTACGAAAAGCTGGTACTGTATCATTAAACGTTGTCGTCTTCCTTGACATGGATGTAGTTGCTTAGTACGAGCAAAGGCGTTTCCGTAGTGTTGAATATTAAAAAATAACAAATTCAATCAACACGCTGCTACCATATTAATCAATAACCTTCTCTCCATGGAATGGTCGCTTGATAGTACTAAACAATGGAGAGGAAACATTTTCTGAGGGGTTACAGTAAAAGCACTCGGAGAGTGGGTGTCAAAAAACTCTCCGAAAAGCGCTAAATCAGGTGTCAAAATTTTTTTACTAAAGTGATATCGTCGAGATGCGTCAAAGCCAATATCGACTGAGGTGATAGCGCCAAGTGGCGTCGATCTCCCATTATACTACTACTAGGTATGTATTGAAATTTTTTCATATTTAATTGAACTATTGTTCCGGCCTTTCCGGCCGGAACAATAATTCAATTATAATATTTTAGAACAAACGGAATTACAATATTTCAAAACAAAGAAATAATTTTAAATATAAATATTATGCAGATTAAAACTTTCAATAAATAAAATTTTAAGAAACAAATAAAAACAACATATTAGATTTAAATGTAAGAATTATCAAGTTAATGAAATAGGTTGTATATATATATATATATATATATATATATATATATATATATATATATATATATATATATATATATATATATATATATATATATATATATATATATATATATATATATATATATATTAAAGTTATAAATATCTATTATGTAGCCACGATGCTGAGGTGCAGCCTTTCACTTTCATTCTTGATAGTAAAAAATTACATAAATATAATTCTCGTTCCAGCTGGAATTCTGACTGAAATTTTTATTAACAGTTCTATCAAATCCGGTCCAGTCGGAATTCCAAATTTCCAAGTCGGCACACCCCTATTATTATGTGTATTGCGATCTAAAAGTTCTCACTAAAGCCAATACTCCATCGGTCCATGCATTTGCGTTTATTTTTGAGCATCTGTTTTAGTTCCTATTTCCTAAACGGAAAGTCATCTTAGTTTTCTATATTTGCTTACCAGGACTTTTTTTCATGCAAAACCTGACCATTATTAATCAGAAAAAATGAAAAAAAAAAAGCCAAAAAATTTTTGTTTTTGTAAATATCAAATAAAGTAGAAAACTGTTATATACATTTTTTTTTACTTATATACAATTTAAAAAAAGGAAACATTAAGGAAAAGTTATTTAATTTTCTAGTGAAAATAATGTTAAAAAAAAACAAAACAAATTTCGCTTTTGATAAATTGTGCATAAATTTCGAATTTAGAAGCAATCATAATTTAACAATAAGTCAGTTATTTGTTAACAGAATCGATATGATAAAATACCTTGCTCATGTTTTCAAAAGGTTACAATTAAGTTCAATAATTTTGCGGTCTAATTAGAAATAATTAATTTTAATACAAATTAAAAATGACCACTTCATTTTTCAATTACATCATGTAACATTTTATTGTTACATTTAGAATTTATAATTGAAAAATAAACCGATTTTAAATTATTTTATTATTCTGACTAATTTAGGTGGTTAATAATTCTTAAATATTATTAGTAAGGCTTAGTTTTAAAGTTACTTAATGGTAAATTTTAGGTGGCTTCCTTGTGGTAAATTTAAACATTAATTTACTTTGCTGCTTTGTTGTGTTGCTTAGTAGCATAATTAATTTAAGACACAAACCTATAACTTACAAGATAAAAAAAAATCTTTACCTAGTTCCATATTTAACTATTCGCGATTTGTTGAAGTCACTGAGATATTTAATTTGCAAGACTCGTTTTTTTAATATGACAAAAGCAAGTTTTGTAATTTTTATTTATTTAAGATTTCTGTTTCATATTTCTATATTTTCTACAAGTTTTTGATAAGTTGTAAAAAAGAAGTTTTTTATTATTATTTTTTTTGTTTTATAGTTTTTTCAATTTTTACTTACTTTTGATATTTACTTATCAACGTGTGGTTATCTCATGGTATGTTACTACACAAATTGGGCACAATACAGACCGTCACCAATGAAGTTTTTCCCAGAAGATGTAGACGTATCGCTTTGTAGTCATATTATATATGCTTTTAGTAGAATTGAAAACGGTAATTATAAAATTAATTAAAGAAAAATGTTTTATGTTAAATATTTAAAAACACTCATAAATATAATTAAAATACGGATAGAATAAAGTTTAATGCATTTTCTCAACAACAAAAAAAGTTATTAGCGATTGTATTTTAAAAGTTATGATTAAATTATTTAGGTACCCAGTAATGAATATATGAAAATAATTTTTCAAGGTCTTAAAGCTTAGTCCAGAACTAATTGTAAAAGAAGCAATCTTCTCGAGAACTCAATTATAAAGCCAATATTATGTTTTAGCTTAAGATATAAAAATGTCGTCTTAAACCCTATTTTTGTTAACTTAGGCCTTTTTGAATGGCATTCTGGGTACCATTAATAAGTTGCATAACATGGTTACTTTATAAATTATTACTATTATAAATTAGTTATAATGTACTACAATATAATAATATTTTCAGAAAAAAAGTTGGACTTATTTGAGTGGAATGACGATAAAATGTATGCACGAATTATGGATTTGAAGAAAGTTAATCCGAAATTAATGATTTTGTTGGCAGTTGGTGGGTGGAAACATGAATCTGGTAGTAAGTACTTTATTTTAAAATATTTATTGTCAAAATGACGAAATAATTCAAATTAATTATTTTGACTATTTTACGTCAAATAAAATTATTTATATTTATTTTTAGATTTAAATTTTTCTTTGTTTTTTTGGAATATGTGAACAGATAAAATACATTATTTAGGAAAGAATTTGTTATTCGATTGGTCTTGATTTAAAATTTTTTAAATTAAATCCCTTATTAAGCTTAACAAATTATATTTAGCTAAATAATTGATTTCATTAAAAAAAAAAATTAGCTAAACTTAATGGAGCGAAATGGTTTTAAACTATTTTTTGGTAAAAATAATTTTTCAAATAAATTCAGTTTTAAATTAAATCTGTATAGCATTTTAACTAAAAATACTGTAAATATTAAAAATACTGTAAATATTAAAAATACTGTAAATATTAAAAATACTGTAAATATTAAAAATACTGTAAATATTAAAAATACTGTAAATATTAAAAATACTGTAAATATTAAAAATACTGTAAATATTAAAAATACTGTAAATATTAAAAATACTGTAAATATTAAAGTAAACTTAAGATTGAGTTTAAAACCATGGTTAAGATTCACTATTGGTTTTTATACTTAATTTCCTCATCAATAAAATTCATGCAAACATGAGTTTAAAATTCTGTTCCAAAGTGTTTAGTCCACGTTAATTCTTAGTACTTGCCCGTTAATTCTTAGTACTTGCCCTTGCCATGAATATAGTACTTAGTCTATGTTGCGTGACCATTATTGATTACGTGTTCCACCATCACTTGCTTTGCACTAAAAACCAATGATTCTCATAAAGGTCTGTGGAAAATCCTAAAATTTTAATATTTAAATAAACCAAATTTGTTGTTTTTTATATGACGAATATTCGAAATAAACACAAAACTGCAATTCGGGATTGCAACCATATTTTTTAGTTTAATTTAAGGACGATCTTAATCAGCCTTTGAAACCCTATAGACTGTGACCTCTAATCAGGCTGTTGGTAAGCTAAATAGTTTACTAAAACATAATTTTTTGGGTTTGAATTTATTTTAGTTAATTGTTTGTTTGAAAATAGACAATAAATTTTGATAAAATGTAAATAAAATGGTTACGCTCGCTGCGTGGGCTGTTTGTAAAAACTAACTTAATACAAAATGTTAAAAATGTTATTCATCAGTTTTATATGAAGTACTCTACCGATAACTGGATTGTTCAAACCTTTTTAAACCCTCCACGCAGGAAAATGTAATTCTGTGCCTGCTTTTATTGGCATATTAAATCATTTTTACTCCTTATAAAGCTTAAAATAAAATAAATCTTTTCTTTATATTTTTAAGCAACTTCGCCATTTTCAATAATGGTAAATAACGATGTAAATCGTAAAAAGTTTGTCAAATCGGTTGTGAAATTACTCAGGAACTATAAATTTGATGGTTTTGATCTGGATTGGGAATTTCCGGGAGGAAGAGGTAATTCACCAGCAAAAGATAAACAAATGTAAGTATTATTCTCTTAAATACATTTTTTTATTTTGAAAGTATTTAAATAAAAGGATATTTTACAATTCAAATTTTTACAACATTTTAATTTTTGTAACAGACTTATATTCATAACCATTTATTCCGGTTTTATTAAAAAAAAAAAGAGCGGGCTAGTTGTCTCTTTTAACTCTTTGAGCAGAGTATGGTACAATTTTTTTTAAATAGTAAAGTGTAGTCTTCAAGTTTTTTCAAAATTTTCGTAACATGTTCAGTTTGCATTTATTATAAAAATAGAAGCAGGAGATTATTTTTTTAATGTAATTTTTATTGAAATTAAGCGCTAATTTATTTTTTTCTTTAATTTAAGACTTAAATTTATTAAAAATTTTTTGTTGATAATAGTCTTAGGCAAAAAACTCAATATTATTGCTGGTAGCAAATAATAGTTCGCAAAGTAAGTTAAAATACAGACTCGATATAAAAACATTTTTATAACTTATGTTTTCTCCACAACTTTTTTAACCTAAAACTAAGGTTTCAATACAGTAGAAAAACATTATTCTGAGTGTCTGCTATTGATTGTGTTATGTACTAACACTATAGACGTCGCGTATAGACAAAAAATACAGGAAAAAAAGTGCAAATCATTTGTAACTAAAACCTGTATAACTTTTATTTTATAAGAACTAATAGTTTCGAAAAACTTTTCATAAGAACTTTTCAAAACAAGCATGTAATATGTGTATATATATAATGTATAAATGCACATATGTAAGTATAAAAGTTTAAAATATACAAATATTTTTCTACGAACTTAGTATTAAATTATCTTTTTAAGCAGTGCTTTAGTTAGAGTGAACCATTCCCTAACTCGTTTTGTTTTTTTGGTCCGTTCAAAAAAAAAAAAAATTAACTAAGAAGTGTATTCTGAATTGCATACAAATATAAAATAAAAGTGTAAAATATAAATTTATGCAAAAACAAAACTTTAAAAATTAAAAACTTCAATAAAAATTTAAAACTTCAAAAATAAAATTAAATAAATAAACTTCATCAAATAAAATTCAACAAACTAAACATTTTCGAGGATTTTGTTTGATTAACGTAACTAAACATTTTTGAAGATTTTGTTCGAAACTTTAAATTTTTATGAAAAGTTCTTTAACCAAAATAGCTATATAGTTGTTAGTCCGAAAAAAATTAATAAAACTCAACGTTGCATCAATCAATTTTTTTTTTGAATTTTACTTAAAATTAAATTGAAAAGCTGGATTGAAAGATTTGTTAAACAAAGTTATTGCACCATTATATTGCATCATTATATTGTAACATTATATTTCATTGTAAGAGGAAATAGTTTCCTAAAACAAAAGCAAATAAAATTGTAGATGACTTAAATAACAAATATTAAATAACTGATTTAAATATAATGCTTAACTAAAGGTCAAAATGTTGACCAATCAAATAACGGCATTTTGAGTCGAATTCGATAAGTCTATATAGAGCTATTGTATGTATATGTATCAACTATACATAAATTGTAAATAGTAATGAATAAAATATAATGAAAACAAACAACTTTGCCAAAACTGATAAATGATAATAGCAGAGTAAAAAAAAAAAAAAGAGCTAGGTAGACTAACTATTTTAAGTTTAGGAGAATACGATAGAAAATTTGCATTAGTAAGGCAGCATTTGCTATTGAGAACTGCAATGACCAAATGTTAGGAATCTTAAGTCAATCAGACTCAACTCTCTTTACCTACAAATAAATTTGTGTTTGCAAACTATGAATCAAGGATTAAGGGGTCACTCATAAGAATCAAGGATTTATCCGATTGTTAAAATTTTACGTTTAAAAGATTGCGCCAATACCGTACTCAGAAAATAAACGCGATCATTTAAATATTGTTGTTTAGTATATTATATATTTTTTTTGTAAAGCAATAATGCGACTATTATATAAAATAATTCTACTTAGATACCGTTGAATTTTTTGATTCAAAGTCTCCCAAGTGTGGAACTTTAATAAGTAAATGCTTCTTCGCGTTTATTTACTGCATTACATTAGTATAATGGGAGAAAAGCTACTGTAGAACATAGAAGTTGGCTGCTGCTTGTTCTATTGATACAGTGTTAAAAATGTTTATGTTATAGTTATAAGCCAGGTGAATAAAAAAATGTAATTGCTTTTACTCAGCGTTTTTAGAGTAATTGTTCATCTTTACGTGAATAAAAGCTTGAGCAAAATTGCTAAAAATTTTAGTCACATAAAATTGACCAATTACTGAGTGAAAGCAATTGCTATTTTTTATTCAGCCGGCCTTATGTTTCAAAATACCGTAACCATAGATATATAAATTACGTAACCATAGATATATAAATTATCGTAACCATAGATATATAAACTTATATATCTATGATCGTAACATATTGTTGTCACAGTGATTATTGTTATCTTATGTTTTTTATTTTTATTGCTTTCATTTAGTTGGAACTTTTTCTATTGTTTCAATAATATTGTCAGTTAATGAAAAAAAATGTTGTATTTTGTTTTATTCTTTTAGAACTTTGATTTAGTATTTAATGATAATTTTAAATAATATTTCTTTACTTTTGAGGTTTACCGTTCTTGTAAAAGAACTTTCAGTTGCATTCGAAAAAGATGCATTGGAAAGCGGAAAACCGGCTTTGCTTTTAACGGCTGCAGTTGCTTCAGCGTACGATGTAGTTGATGCTGGTTATGAAGCTAAGGAATTAAGTAAATATTTACATTTGCTACATATTATGGCTTACGATCTACATGGAACTTGGGATAAAGTGACTGGACATCACGCTGCTCTTAAATATGACGGAGGTTAATACTTTTAAATACCATACAAATGTATTTCAATATTTGTTTTAAATATAACTAAATATAAAGGAATACATTTTTAGTTATATATCATACAATTATTCTATAGATTCAATATCAATGTTGTTTAAAGAATTTTCACTGCGGTGAATAACTTCTAAATCTATTTTGTAAAAATTGTTTCAAAACTGCCGTAAAAAAAAACTGCTAAATAAAACAAATAAAATAATAATAACATTTTATTTATAAATATATTTATTCATAAATATTAATTATTCATAAACATTTTATTTTTTAAATTTGTAGGTAAATCTCCAAAACGAAAAGAATACACAGTTGAATATGCAGTTGAACACTGGATTAAGAAAGGTTTTCCTCCTAGTAAAATTACTTTAGGTCTTGCTACTTACGGAAGATCTTTTTATTTAGAAGATGAAGATGATCATGGATTGTCGGCGGATATTGATATTTCCAAAAAAGATGATTTAGCTCCAAAAGGAGCATTTACAAGAGAAGCAGGATTATTGGCTTACTACGAAATTTGTTCAATGGGGTTGACTGTTATTCAAAATAATAAAGCCGGTGCTCCTTACGGCTATAAGAAAACAGTTTGGGTTTCTTACGACGATGCAATTAGCTTGACAAACAAATCCCAATTAATTAAAGGTTTTGCAAATTTTTTTCTGATAAATTTTTAAGTTATTTATATTTTTATTTATTTATAGTTGGAGTTTAAATCTTTAGTTTAAAATCATTTATTTTTTCTTAGATAAAAAATTAGCTGGCGCAATGTTTTGGGCGTTGGATATGGATGATTTCAATGGTAAACAGTGCGGACAAGGACGATATCCTTTATTATCGGCCGTAAAAACTGCTTTAGGTGGTAAAGTCAAAACTGAAAATTTAATTACAGAAGAAACTCGTTCAGGAGAGATCGTAATACCAAAGCCAATGTATAATGGAAAATGCTACGCCGTTGGGCTTTGGAAAGGATATCCAGGAATGGATATATGGTGTTTTATTAATTGCCCAAAGGGAGTATGTCCAGTCTGCGCGTGCGCTTGTTAAGTTTTTTTACATGTTTACATGCTCCTACAAACTCTTGACATAGATATTGCTTAGAAAAATATTTAATTATGAATAAAGATTATATACTTTTATAATATACAACTGATATTATTTGATATGTCACTTAATAAAAGACTTTATAAGAAAAAAAACTGTTATTTAAAGTTATTTTTGTTACAAATAAACAATACAACAAATAAACAACAAAGAGTTTTAAACGTGTGACTTCTTTGGGCGCCTGGGCGTTTAGGCGCTTTTGTGGATGCTTGTCAGATTAGATTTTTAGATAAAATTGCATCATTTTCTGTTTATCTTTGCTTTTTGTTTGCCTAAATCAACACCAACTGTGTTTTTGCAGGATCTCTTTGCGTAGCTTTTTTTTCACAATTATTATTATTTTTTTTTTTATCAAAATATATCGCTTTTGTTTAATCACTATTAATATTCATTTTTTTTGAACATGGCGTTCTATTCTGTCAAAATCCTTTTTTACTAGGTTTTTTGGGATTTGCAACACCTGTTGCTAAAATTCATTAAAACTGAGTACACAGTTTTAATGAATTTTAACAACTTTTAGTTTTAATGATTTTTTGTAAAGTTTTCTTTGACTTTGGCACAACAACAAATGAACTTTCTTGGCTTTGACAACAACCGGAGAACTTTCTTGATTTCATTACAATAACAGAAAAACTTTATGATTTTCAATTTTGCGGATATCAACACTAGCGTCAAAAAAATTCACATTTTATTGTCGATGCTTGATTGACCGGAGAAAACATGCAAAATGTGGGAAGGTGGTAATGTGACAACAAATATTCAGCAAATCTTTCAAGATTTCAAATTGTGTATAAATATATTTAACAATAACTAACAATAAATAACAATGTTATAATAATACAATAATAAAAATATTGTGCTTGCTGTCCAAAAATATTTTTCAATAATTTAACGATAACTAACAATAAATAAAAATAAATAATAATATATAGCAACAGATTCACGAGCATTTAAAGAATTCTAAGCTCTTATTTGACTTGTGGTTGGCCTTTTAATAATTTTGATTTCTTTGTTTAGCAAAAACAATTTTTGGATGCAACTCAAAAATATTTCTTTTGACTGGCATTTTTCGTGTGTGAGAAATAAAGTTTTGCTATGGCGTCTAAAAAAGATTTTCATTTTGTTACATAAATTATTAGTATATCAAATGCGAAATCAAAATTGCAAAATTGATTTCAGGCAAATTTGCAAAATTTGATATCACGCAAGTGAAAAATGAGTGTTAAATTAGAAAAATTTTAAGAGGGAAAAGTGGTCTAAAACGGGCTCCTAAGGTGAGATAGGCCCCTATCAAATCACTTGTTTGGACAATAATTATTACAAGTTTAACTGTAGAATATTGCTCAGCTGACTGAAAACCATCCAAAAATTAGTTGTTTTTTTATTGTTAATTTGTTTTCAATTCGCCTTTCCCCTTAAATACAATACATTATGGTATTTGTATGCACGCGGAAGTAAACAACAAAAATAAGTTGAGTAAAATGTCAAATTATGAAAGAACTGAGATTGTCCAAATAGACTTGCGTGTATTTTATTCTACCCTTTAGTTTTTCTTTTTTTTTTTTAAACATTTTAGTTCAAATTTTAGAAATTATATTATTGGAGTCTTGCACTATATAAAACTTTGAAGAAAAGATAATAACACCAAACGATGTTTAACTAAAAAAGCAACAAAAAAGTGGGCTAAAAAGCAAACAAAAAAATGGGTAAAACAACAACAAAAAAGTGGGTACACAACATTTTACATGTTGTGTACCTAAATGCTTTAAGAACTAAGTAAAACATACAAATTTATTATTTTATTCATTTCCCAACAAAGAAAATATTGAAGAATAAAAAAAAATATTAACTTATAATAATTTTTACATACTTTTACATCCTTTCAAATATATATTTTTTGTCATAAATTGAAAATAAAATGTATTCAAACAAGGTTAAAACCTTATTAAACCAGTTTTCATTTTCGAAGTTAATTGATAGCCCAAAAAATTCTTCATTCTTCAAAACAAAACCTATTTCTAGTTTTTATAAAAGCTTTGATACCTTGATATTGGTATAAAAGTTTTATTGGTACAAGCTCCATGCAGAAAGATTTCTTTTTCAATAAGAGCACTTTACTTCAATCATTTTGTAGCTGTCTTAGTTAATACGCATCCATTTAGATATACAACTAACCATGCCATTTAGGATTTATAACAAGATCGCATTTTTTAGCATCACAGTTAATTTTTTATTTAAACTTTTCATGAGCAATATATTCATTTTCAATACTCCACTGACTTTTGATTGTAAACTACTATCACAGTTTTTTATAAACTCTTTTAAAAATAAAGTCGGAGGAGCCTACGGTTCTTCTACACTTACGGTATAGTACGGGCTTCTACGATTTTCTACAGTTTATAACTGTATCAAAATTCAATGCAGTAAGTTTTTTATTTTGTTCTTTAAACCATTTTTATATTAATCTTTAGTTTCTGATTAACAAAAGATAAATTGGAAAACTTTAATTTTCATCAACCTTAATAGATGTTTCACAAAATTGACTTTGGTCAAATTTGCTTCCAAAAATTAACACATCCATTGTCATTACTTGATTTAGTTCTATATAATAAAAAATTTGGTTTAACTCTAATCTGGTTTTTCTGTTTTATTTTTCAGTTGTAAAATCTCTTATTATTTATTATTCGATTACAAATTTAAGAATTTTTAATATATATTTTATTATATTTAACTTATTTTATTATATACAATTTTATTATATGATCATTATTATTTGATCATTATTTTAGTGTTATCATTATTATATATTCTTTTACATTTGTTTATTATAGATTTATGTTATTTTAATTTTATCTATTGTTTATTATTTTATCTTTCTTATTAGTTAATAGTATAAACCTATACTTTTTATTTATAATTTTGATAATATATAATTAACTAACTATTTTACTTACTATTATTGATTACCGTTGCTATTTATCAATTTACTGTTTATTGTTTGATTATTTGATCTTTTTAATTTTTATATTTTCTGTTCTATAAACGGTTTTACCATCTAAATCATGAAAATTTGTCTTTATTGTAAAAAAAAATAAAAGATAATCACAGAGCCATCCAATGAAATTGTTGCCCTTTTTGGATTCATGCAAAATGTATTCTAGCTTACAATCTGCTTTCCAATGACTCTTCTAAATGGTTTTGCCCTAACTGCATATAAAACAATATGCTATTTGGCATGCTCTCTGATCTGGAACTTAAATTAACTCTTTCTTGAAAGAATCCTCCTTATAAAATTAAATTTCATGAGTTTCCTGATTACCTCAAAAACTTATTTAAAAAACATGAACAATGATTTTAATCCAACAACTAAATGCAAATACGTTAATGAACTAAATAAATTTATTAATCCTGGTGCAGAAATTTATGGTGGTGCGCTTCTTTACCTAAATTCAAATCTTCTTAATTACATAGTCTGTAGTGAACTCCAAATTTATGCCTCCAAAATTCTAGAGTCTATTTTTGTTGAAGTTATATATCCACTTAAAAGTAATAACATTTTTAGATGTATATATCGGCATTCCTCTTTAAGCATTACTGAATTTTTATCTATCCATTTTAATCCTCTCCTTGAAAAGTTAAATCATAAAGCAAGATATACTGTACTAATGGGCGATTTTAACATAAATTTAGTGAATTATAGAGAATCACAAGTCGTTTCAAATTATTTTGAATTGTTGTGCTCTCATTCCATATTTCCAACCATAATTTTTCCAATACGAGTAACTACAAAAACTAAAACCTTTATTGATAACATTTTCATGAATTCATTTCTTTCTGATACAGTCTCTCGAATCTTACAATTTCAATCTCTGACCCCATGGCACAATTTGTCTGTATTCCTAATAACCTACCCTTTAAAAAGAAGCTTTAAAAAATTTTAATCCAATTCTTTTATCCAAAAAATTTCTGATATTAACTGGGAACTTCTAATAAAGGAAGATGATAACATAAATGAATCTATAAATTTATTCCTTTAAACGTTAGAAAAAGTATTTGACCGATATGCTCCCAGCAAAGAGCTAACAAAACAACAAATTAAACTTCAATCTAAACCCTGGATAACCTCTGATATTCTTAAATCTATTTCTAATAAAAACATACTTTATAAAAAATTTACTAGATCAAAAAATGTAAATACCAAACATATATTATTTACTAAATTTAATTTATACAGAAATAAAATTAGCAATTTGTTAAGATATTCTAAATAATCTATTATGCATCTTTTTTTAATAACAACATCAATAATGTAAATAATACCTGGAAAGCAATTAAGGAAAAAACATCAAACCTTCTACTTATACTAAGTCTTTTAATCTCAAAATCAATGAAAGTGTCATCTCAGATCATACCAGTGTTGTAATATATTTAATAACTAATTTGCGACTATTCAAGACGAACTACTTAAAAATGCTGTTTTCCTCTAAATGTTTTTTCGGCAACTTTCTTAAAATACCTAGTACTAATTCTTTTTTCATTGATCCCGTGACTGAAAATGAGGTGGCGAATCTTATAAAAAGTACTCTTAAAAATAATAAATGCTTTGATCCCAATAGTCTGCCAATATTTCTTCTAAAGCTGGTATCTCACATAATCTCCAAACCTCTATGTACTATGATGAATAATTCTTTCAAAAATGGTAATTTCCAGAAGCTTTTAAGGTAACCAATGTAATTTCTATACACAAAATGGGTTTTTATCAAGACTACTCTAATTATCGACCTATTTAACTTCTTTCTAACTTAAGTAAACTGTTTGAAAAAGCAAAGTTCCAAAGACTCGAGCATTTTTTTGGAAAAAAATAAACTTCTTTACCAATACCAGCATGGTTTTCGCAACAAATACTCAACAACCCATTCATTAATAGAAATAACAGAGAAAATTAGACAAGCCATCGATAATAAATATTTTGCCTGTGGAGTGTTTATTGACAAAAGAAAAGCATTTGATACAGTTGAACACACAATCCTTCGAGAAAAACTGTCATACTACGGCATAATAGGTATTCTTTTTTCCTGGTTTTCCTCTTATTATTGAAAACAATCATCAGAATATCAGAAAAC